ATCTTACTAAGCTGCTGATCTATGACATATGTGGCTATCTAGTCTATAAAACTGAAAAAGGAAGGAACATATAGTATAGTCAGTAAAACATCAAACATCATTTCACAAATAAACCTAGAACTCAGTCCAATCAGTCACTTCTTGTATTTTAAACTATACTATGAAACTGAGAAAAGAAGAAACAAATCCTGATAAATGCCTACATAGTAAGTACATGAAACATTATTTTAAAACCAAACTCAAATGATAAAACTTAGTTTAATCACAAAGGTCTGGAAGATAATAGTAGCTAAAGAATCTCCCAAAGCCTGTCGGGAGGCAAGTAAAAACCTCTTTATCTGTCACAGAAAAATCTGTCCCACCCAAATTTTGTCCCATTAAAACAAAATATTTTGTCCTAGTAAGCTTTTATTTAAAATATTTTAGATATAATTTGTCCTAGGACACAAATATTTCTTATATTATTACAAAAAATTAGTCCTAGGGTAGGATAGGACAATAGTCCTACCCTAGGACTAATTTTTTGTAATGATATAAGAAATATTTTTGTCCTAGGACAAATTATATCTGAAATATTTTATCCTAGGATCATAATATTATGCATAGACTATTTTGATGAGGAAAATTTACTCAGCACTATTAATAATAAGTAGTAACGCAGTAGCTTTATTAAGTAGGATTCACCCCCAAACAAAATGGCTGCAGCAACCGTGCATTTGCACTAGCCATTAATTATAGTACGTTAGTCATTAGTAAATCTGGATATCTTCGTAGTTTAGGGTGTGGCCATTTTTTACCACACCCTCTCACGTTTCAGAATGAGGATTATGGCTGCTAGTAAATCAAGATAATTTGTTTTTACAATGATCATGTTTATCAAGACAAGTAGTACAAGTGAAGACATTTATCCACAACCATAACATTATAATACTTCTTTAGAGTGTATATATTGATTCTGTCCTTTACTATAGTTATAATTTTACACAATAGTTATTACTTTCTAGGCTAAAATACAGTACAAGCAAAAAATTAATGCTACAACTGATAATTAATACAGTGCCAGCAAAATAATTCATGTTATAACTCATAATAGATGTGAATAGAGAGACAGAGCTATAAAGACAGTATTGGTAACAAAAATGGAGGATTAATGTTAGACTCTGATCTTCATACAATGCAAACACACATTGTCATGTGAACAAGCTACATGTACCCATAAATTACATTTTCCTTATTCGATCCACTCAACTTCTTGATTTTTTATCATCATTCACATATTCTCCTTTGCTCTCTTCTCCTCTGCAGTAGGCTTAGCCCATCTTGATAATGATACCCTCTTCTTTTCAGTACTTTGAAACCTTAATTGTTTATCGCTGTTTAAATTTGGTGCTGGCCTTTTTCGAATTGGCAAAGCTTGTTCTTTATCATTTTTGTCAAGCAAATTTTCAGCTTTTAAAAGGCAAATTGCAGATGACAAATGTGAAACCACAGAAGAAATTGTATTAATATCATTGCATGCGTCCAATCTGCATTTCTGAAACTTTCCTCCAAACAGTTCCTTGCTTTCTAAAAGTGAACTTCTTTCCTTGACTGTAAAAGTCTAGAATAATAGGCAAGCTGATTTTCTTCATGTACAGCATCCTCATTTGGTGCTAGTCTAGAATGTTCTGTCAGTGATAAAGATGTTGAGTGATCTGTGGATAGATCTGCAATTGGTGATTCAGCTACCACTGCTGTATCAATGTTATCATGATCATTCTCATTTGACACAGCAGTTAACAAATCAATGAGCTCTTGGTCATCTTCTTCAACTTGTCTGAATTGCTAACAGGAAGTCTTCTTTGCCTAAATCATTGCAGTTTTCTCCTTGCTCTTCTTAGTTCTTGAAGATCAATATCGGATTATATTCCATTTCCAGCATTTCAGTAACCCATGCTACTTTACTTGAATGATCATTTTGATGTTTCTCGATACTTTGAAGATTAAGTTTGTATTCAATGTTGTGAACATCCTGACAATTCATAAGATGCTACCTTTCAATAGTACCAGTTACACTGTCTCTAACATCATCTAGTATTCTTTCAATTGTTACTCCTTCAGCTAGCTTAGCTGCAACAACATTCTTTATTTCATCAGGCACTCTCAAATGACATATCTCTGGTTTGTGATTACCATGATGACTGCAATAAGTGACTTTAACCTTCTTCGTAATAGCATCCTCAATCACTGTCATGTGTGCAGTACAGTATTCATTTGTTTTACAGGAACCTTGAACCTTGGGAGCTCTCTGATGTTTCCCTTTCGACTGACGCACCATACCAGACCTGTTACAATAATAATAGGATTTTCTATTAAGACCTAGCATGCAACTGGCACTGTTCTTGACACAAGACTTTGAATGACTTTCTTCCCCTTTCTTCCACTCATAAAACTTATCAATAGAACAAAACTCATGGTTTGTTATTTCGATTTCCTTGTTGTGGATTTGATTAGGATGCTCAATTAGCTTTGCCACACTTAAAACCCTAAATTAAATAGTGTCACTTCTAGCACTGTATACTCAAATATACTTACATTGAGCCACATAAATTGCAGAAAACGTGAGAATCTTTGACGCTTTTCTCATTGTTATGTTTCTCCTGAACATGCTTTGAAAGTGAAGATGAAAACTGGTAGGAGAGATGGCAGAAAGGACACTTCTTTCTTTCTTCAGAACTTTAAGCAGATGCAGCCATGGTGACACCACGTGGGTAGGTGTGGTGTATAATGTTAAACACGCCCACATTGAAAAAAGGTACTGGAATATCCTGACTTTTATTGATGGCTAATGTACTGTAATTAATGGCTAGTACCTTTGCAGCCTTGCTATACCTGAAAACGAGCTATACTTACCAGACTTCTTAGAGGACTTCATCTTGACCAGAGACTCCAATGGTACCACTAGCATGGCTCTAGACCTTGTCCAAGAGGCCAAAAATTGGTGAATCGACCGTTAATTCAGCCACCTTTATTTATCTTCATCATCATCATCATCATCAAGAAGTCCCGCCAATCCAGTTGTCGGTGTGTATCTCAATACCAGTTGATGCTACAAGGATAATTCTTTCACTAATCTACTGAGTCTATGCACAGGCCCATGTCCCATCAAATCATTTTCCAAGACAGGAAAAGTGATACTCTGACAGCTAGATCTACCATCTTAGCTGCATTCTGCCATTTTGTCAATTAAAGAAGCATGTGCTCAAAAATTTTTGTGTGGTCGCACATGCTCAAATCTGCAGTTTTGGAAGAAATAAAGGCCAATGCACACGAGTGTAAAGTTCAGATCCAAAACAATAAAACATCAACAATCATAATCTAATAATCATCAAGTGTAATATGTTAACTGTGCAGGTGTGTAATAAATGCGTATGTATGCATAATATAATAAGCATGGTTGTTATTATGTATCATGTTACATCTTCCTTTTTCTGGTGAAGTTTCAGAAATGTAATATATACGGGTCTGCATAACTATATGACTGTCAGCCATTGAAGCTAATCATCCTAGAGATGTTGAAGGATGTTTCAGTGAAACTGTATCTTATTGGCTAAAGAGAAGGAAAGGAGTTGATGAGGTAGGAACACCAACATGGCTGAGACTAGGAGATATATTGGAAGATTTGGGTCTATCATCAGTGTCACTCCCAACTGATGAAACTCAGCCTCTGAATCAGAGTCTTTGGCAGCTTTTGATGTGACTGTCAGTAGGTCAGTTTCATCTTCTGTCTTCTCCTTGATCCTCTTGCTCATCATAATCAAGAAATATTAGAGTGTCTCGTGTCTCTTCTCAAATCTCTTTTCTGCCACCTCATCATTCAAATAATTATGCTTAACAGAAGGTATAAAGTTACACCAGTTTGAAATGGGGCAAGCTTCAAATGAGTTATTGGCTCCAAGAGACAGGAGGTAATAAGACGCACTGCTGTTAATCCCACCTTCCTTATGTCCTATAAAATGTTTTCCTCCTTTCTTATGTTCTCTGAGTATTCATGGCTGATCAGCTATGTTGGCTTTCCTAGCACAAAAGCCACGCCTCCTTATGGCGTCCTCTCTCTCCTTCTGCCTGTACTCTGTTCTCACTCTTTCAAGGACGCGCTCAACCTTTCCCTCATCCTGTTCCTTTGTCTCTTGGCAATCCAACTTTGGATTAGTGAGTTGCTGAAGGTCACAATTGTGTGGTGGCTAAAATCTCATTATATTATACTCTTTGTTGTCTGGATTTCGAAGTTTCACTGAATATTCTTGAGTGGCCATAATAAAACACGAATAAAAACATGCTTATTATATTATGCATACACAAACTCATTTATTACACACCCACACAATTAACATGTTACACGTGGTGATTATGAGATTATGATGATTAATGTTTTATTGTTTTGGATCTGAACTTTACATGGTGTCAAGAGTGGGCTCAATACGATGGAGGAACAGTTCCAGCCCCCAGAACCGCTTTTGCTACTAGGGAATCTTGCCAAGAACTGGCGCAGATAGAAGCAAGGTTTTAGTATTTACATGACAGCATCTGGGAAGAAGGATGAGAGCGAAGAAGTCAAGTGCGCCATTTTTCTCCTCCTGGCCGGGCCAGAGGCTTTTGAAATATTTAACACGTTCACGTTGACAGTCCTAACGACGCTACAAAACTAAGTAAATTACTCAATAAAATTAAAGAATACTGTATTCCTAGAAAAAATATCACTTGGGAATGACATGTATTCAACACACGAAACCAGCAACCGGATAAAACTGTTGACCAGTATGTAACTCAGTTGAGAAGCAAGGCTAAGACATATGCATTTGGATAAAAGACTGTCTTGGTGGTGGTATTATTTATTAGCAATAAAACAAGGTCCCACTTGCTAATGAAAGCAGACCTAACAATTAATGACATCCTTGACATATGCTGTGCAGACAAAACTGTATTCACACAGCTCAAGAAAGTGTCCAGCAGTACTACCACGATGAATGAGCATGAGGTCAACTTCACGAAAAATAAGCAACCAAGACAACACTCAACTCGTGACTCACAGTGCCTTGTTGTGGCACACAGCACCAATTACAACAAAAGTGACCTGCTAGTGGTGTCAAATGCCATAAGTGTGGTTGCCTCAAACCATTTTGCTAGAGTATGCCAAACCAGGGAATCTCATCCACGAGTACAAAACCTCGACCAGGTTGATGAATCAAGCAATGACAATTTTTTTATCAATGCTATTCGAAAGAAAAACAAACAATGATGATTGGAATATCATCATCTTGATAAATTCCCAAAACACCAGCTCAAGATAGACACTGGTGCACGCAATATAATGTCATGTCTACCACAACCTACAACTCATTGAGCCAACAATCTCCTCTCTCATCTAAGTCCAGATTAATTGCCTTCTGAGGACACAAGCTTAAGTCGACTGGTAAAGCAATACTGCTATGTGAATAGAAGAATAAATTCTGGCCAATTGAGTTTGAAACCCTTGATTTTGTAACATATATCCTTGGTCTGAACACCAGCATCAAAATGAAGCTCATCAAACGCATTGAAACTTTGACAAAAGACACTCTCAGCAAATATATTGATGTATTCCATGGCCTCGGTTGTATTACTAGCATTACACACCACATACACCTCAAACCAGGTGCTAAACCAGTGATACACCCCCACAATGAGTTTCAGTCATACTCAAATCAAAAGTACAAGACAAGTTGGAACGCATAGAGTGACTGAGTGTCATTAAATGAGTACATGAACCTACAGACTGGATGAACTCCATTGTCACTGTTACCAAAAAGAACAGCGAACTTTGCATATGCATAGATCCTCGCAACTTAAACAAAGCTATAAAATGGGACTATTATCCCGTTAGAACAATTGAAGTGATAGCTGCTAGGATGCCTACTTTTCAGTTCTGGATGCCAGCTCTGAATTCTGGCAAGTACAACTAGATCACGAGAGTTTAAAATTATGTACCTTCAATACACCATTTGGTCGATACATGCTTAAACGGCTCCCGTTTGGCATCTCATCTGCACAGGACGTTTTTCAGTCCATTATGTCAAAAATTTTCGAAGACATTGAGGGGGTTGAAGTCATTGTGGATGACATACTTGTTTGAGGAACGAATGTAGAAGGGCACAACTCGAGACTCAAACAAGTGTTACAACGTGCTCAATCAAGAAATCTCAAGCTCAACAAGGATAAAAGCCAGATCAGGTTAAAAAAGATCAGCTATATTGGACACACCCTCAGTGAACAAGGAATCAATCCTGACCCCCAAAAATACAAGCCAATACTAACATGGGGCACCTACTAATAGAGAGGAACTCCAACGCATCCTAGGTATGGTAACATATTTATCTAAATTCATTCCCAATTACTTTAAAATTTCAGCCCCACTTAGGCTACTCCTTAAAAAAAACATCGAATGGCACTGGACCCCTGTACAGACACAGGCTCTCACTAAATTTAAGAGTTAGATCACCAGCCACCCAACCTTAAAGTTCTTTGACCCATCAAAACCCATCAAGGTCTCTGTTGATTCCAGTTCTAAGGGCATAGGTGCTGTCCTCCTCCAGGACAACCAACCAGTAGCATATGCATCAAAGTCACTGACTCCCACCCAGCAAAACTATGCACAAATAGAGAAGGAGATGCCCGTGTGCATCAGCCTTTATAGAGCACTTCTTGTCATAACATATACAGTCATGATGGATTTGGTATCAGTCAATACAAATGGATCAAGAGTGACAGCAGCCCTGCTATTGGTAATTATCAGTTTATCATTATTTATTTATTTATTATTTATTTTTAAAGGAGGTATGGTTGGTGGTAGTGATAGTGAGCCATTCCTAATGGTCTCTAATCTGATCAATGGTACATATAATTTCACACTAATGGTAAAAAGAAAAAGAGTCACAGGCACATACATATATGTTAATTTGCCTTGTGCATTGGCCTTTGGTTATTTTTTACCCAAGTTGTGCTTGGAATCAATTTACTGGTACTGCAATACTTTAGTGGAGGTTTCCAGCAAAAAAGGTATTAGTCTTAGATGTTACTGTTTTATTAAGTGTGTGATTTTATTTTATTAAGAAAACAAACAATTAAGTATGTTCTCATTTAATTAATGTCATGATATGCAATGATAATATGAACTTGACAACAGCCTGGAAGAACAGGAATATAGCTAGAGAAATGCAGGGAAGATGAACTCTCAGCTTGCAGGTTCTTGAACAAGGACTTGTGTCAAGGCTAGTATTAATTTCACTTGTCATCAGTCGTATTCCTTCAACATATCTATTCAATGCTGTCTCTCATAAATGCTGTATTAACAATAAAGAAAACTATTTGTGTAAAATCATCAAGTATCACAGTGGTAACTAAAGAAATACTATAAATATTTTTTTTAAAAGGAACACAAACAAGAACATAAAAAAATTAAAAAACAAGGTGAAGTAGGATTCTAGAGCAACTTGGTAAAAAAGTAATAAAATCAAGGACAGATAGGATTCCAAACTAACAATGAAAATACGACGTAAAAATCCTACTCATGACGCAAATTCTACTCTACATTGCAAAATGATTCGTAAT